CCCCCGAGATCCGGACGATCCCGGATCTCCTAACCTTCCGCCGCGCCCTCAAGACATGGCTTTTTCAACAAGCGGGACTGACCTAGGGTGAATTTTAAATAGGGAAAATTTTTTAAAGATTTTAATAATGACACAGCCATAAATATATTTGGTTTTTAATTGGTTTTATAGGGGAAATGTTTTTTGTGTTGTTTTTTAACATGCTGTGAGCCGCCCTGAGTCCCGTGGGGAGAAGGGCGGCATAGAAGTTGGAAAAATAAATAAATAAATAAATAAATAAATTTCACTTCTCTTGTTAGTGGGAAGGAGGTGGGAGGTTAGGAAATATGAAGAATGAATGAATGAATGAATGAATGAATGAATGAATGAATGAATGAATGAATGAATGCCTGTTATGTCCAATGCACCTGATAATTCCTATTGCCTTATTATTTTTTAGCTGAGCTAGTGATGATTATTATACAGATATATTTGTGTAAATTAGCTTTTGTCCTAAAAGTAAAGGAGTCCTCCAGATTTTACTCCGATAGTCATTGATGATTATACAGCACAGTGCTCATCTCTGTTTTGAGGGCCATTGAGTCAGTGCTATCCAAAGAGATTTCCGCATTAATGTGGCCAGCATGATGCCACAGAGCACTGTTATCTTCCCACCAAGTGATACCTATTTATCTACTTGCATTTGCATGCTTTTGAGTTGCTAAATTGGTAGGAGCTGGGACAAGAATGGGAGCTCATCCCATTGCGTGGCGCTCGGGTTGAACCTGGGCTGCCGGCTTTCCAGACAACAAGCCCATTGTCTTAACCTCTGACTCCCCTTGCGGCTTCTGGATTTTCTCCTACAGTGACAAAACCCCTCAATCCTGCAGATGTCTCCAAAAAGGAAAGTTTCAATATCTGAGCTGCAAAATTCCAAGCAACAGCCTTTGCAGCTAGATACAGTTATTAAAAAAGGGAGAACTGCACTTACAGAGTTCTTGTGATCAGGAATCCTCTTTTAGGACCTGGTTCCAATGCTTGACACTCTAGAACCAGATAGGTAATGGCACGGAGAGAGAGGGAGTTGTACTCCCCCATCCCATACCAACTGTATATTGGTGCAAATAAACCTGATCCAAATAAATCTGCACCCGGTCCAAAGAGAGATGTGGCATTGTTCAAACAAATGCATGCATTCACACAGCGAAACCCGTATCCAGTACCTACCATTCCGTAATGCTTTTGTGTGCTCTAATTACTGATGTCTCTATATCTATGGGATGATACCGCATTCCTCGCAATTCCATGGCTTCATCTAACGCACCTACTACGTAAAGTGCATCGTGTCGTTCTGATACCACAAGAGGAAAAACAAAAACAAAAATAGTTCATTATGCAAAACCACATCAGTGACAAAAGAATTATCTAACACTGAATTTACAGTTGTTGTTTTTTTAAGAAAAGCTTTTCCCAACATGGCTTGGAACCTCTCTCAACCTCTCTGGAGAATGCCTTTGTATTATGAGTGGGAGAGGCTGGTTTCTGTTTCAATTTCTTATACATGATTTCAAGATTACATAATAAAGGTGAAAAATACATTTTTTTAAATAAAAGGCACCTGATTAATACAAAAACAGCAATTAAAACAGCTTTGTGTTTATTTCCTCCCCTATTCCTCCTTCTTGACATTTTTTCTTAAAGCAGCTCATTATGGACCATAGAACAATTAAAAAATTTTTTTTATAATAATGTCATATAAAATTAGTTAAGGTTGGAGCAGGAAGTAAAGGAAAGGTGTCCTTGCAGATTTTACTTTGCTGGTCATTGCTGACCAAATGGGGTGTGGTTTATCTCTGTTTCAAGGCCATTGAGCCAGTGCTGTCCAAAGCTGTGGCTCATGTGGCCAGCATGATGTCACGGAGCGCTATAACCTTCCCACCCAGTGGTGGTACCCATTTATCTACTTGCATTTGCATGCTTTCAAACTGCTAGGTGAGCTGGAACTAGGCAAAGACAGGCACTCATCCTGTCAGGCAATGCTCTGGTCAGGAAACCAACTAGAGTCAATTTGCTTTGCTTTTACATTTACCGTATTTTCCGGCGTATAAGACGACTTTCTAAACCCTGAAAATCTTCTCAAAAGTCGGGGGTCGTCTTATACGCCCAGTCGTCTTATACAGCGGAAAATACAGGTATTCTATTTTATTCCTTTATATAAGCTGAGGACGCGATGGGGGCAGTGGCCGGGAGCCGCTGCCTCTCGTCCTGCTCCCTCTCCCTGGACATGATGGGGGCGGCGGCCGGGAGCAGTTGCCTCCCGTCCTGCTCCCCCTCCCCGCCCGTTCAGCTGAGGATGCGATGGGGCGGCGGCCGGGAGCCGCTGCCTCCTGTCCTGCTCCCCCTCCCCGCCCATTCGGCTGAGGACGCGGCGGCCAGGCTGGGGGCGGAGTGGACTCCCGACGATGCTGCAGTGGCCACTGCCGTGCTGCCACCGCCACCACTGGAGCCGCTGCCTCCCGTCCTGCTCCCCCTCCATGCCCGTTCGGCGCCGTCTGCCTTTCATTCTCTCTCTCTCTCTCCTAACCTGGAGGGAGAGGGAGAGAGAGAAAGAGAGAAAGAGGAAAGAAAGAGAAGAGAAAGAGGAAAGAGAAAGAGAAGAGAAAGAAAGAGGAAAGAGAAAGAGAGAAAGAGGAAAAAGAGAGAGGAAAGAAAGAGAAGAGAAAGAAAGAGGAAAGAGGGAAAGAGAAAGAGGAAAGAGAGAGGAAAGAGAAGAGAAAGAGAAAGAGGGGAAAGAGAGGGGGAGAGGAAAGAGAAAAAGAGAGGAAAGGGAAAGAAGGAGAGGAAAGAGAGAGAAAGAGAGGAAAGAGAAAGAGAGGGGGAGAGGAAAGAAAAAATGAGGAAAGAGAAAAGAGATTGAGAAAAGAGAGGAAAGAGAAAGGAAAAAGAAGAGAAAGAGAGGAAAGAGAAAGAGAGGAAAGAGAAAGAGACAGGAAAGAGAGAGAGAAAGTTAGAGGAAAGAAAGAAAGAGAAAGAGAAGAGAGAGGAAAGAAAGAGAGAGAAAGAGAAGAGAGAGGAAAGAGGAAAGAGAGAGGAAAGAGAAAGATAAAGAGGGAGAGGAAAGAGAGGAGGAGAGGAAAGAAAAAAAGAGGAAAGGGAGAGAAGGAGAGGAAAGAGAGAGAGAAAGAGAAGAAAGAGAGAAAGAAAGAGGGGGCGAGGAAAGAGAGAAAATGAGGAAAGAGAAAAAAGATTGAGAAAAGAGAGGAAAGAGAGAAAGGAAAGAAGAGAAAGAGAGGAAAGAGAAAGAGAGGAAAAAGAAAGGAAAGAGGAAAGAGAGAGAGACAGAGAAAGAGAGAGGAAAGAGAGAGAGAGAAAGAGAGAGGAAAGAGAGAAAGAGGAAAGAGAAAGAGGAAAGTAAGGAAAGAGAGAGGAAAGAGAGACACAGAGAGAGAGACCCTTTTGACATCTAAAATGAAGATAACACTGCATATATCCTTTTTTACCTTTATTTTATATACACACACACACACACACACACACACATATATCATAAAGGTAAAAAAGGATATATGCAGTCTTATCTTCATTTTAGATATCAAAAGGGTTTTGCGGCTCCAAGTGTTTTGTTTTCGGTGGGAAACGTGTCCAAGTGGCTCTTTGAGTGTTTTGGGTTGCCTACCCCTGATATAGCCCAAACTCTATATTTTAACTGGAAAAGTTGGGGGTCGTCTTATACGCCCAGTGGTCTTATACGCCAGAAAATACGGTAATGAAAATTGAGTATAAATATTACTACTCTCCAAGATTACTTCTTTAATAAATATATTCTTATTTTTATTCTTATTCTTGTATTGAACATTACAATTTTGGGAGCAATTCTGGTTTTGTTGGGGAGGCATGCAAAATATTTGTCTTAGATAATACATCTCTGCACATCAGAGGGGATGCTAGGGATGCAGAAGTGGATCTGTGCCCGCTGTAAGGTAACTTCTTCTAGCCAAAGTATATAATTCTTCTCATCCTTTCTACAGTGCAGGCATGGTTCCATAAACTGCATATAAACAACAGAACTGCTGAGAAAATATTGTATAATGTACTGCAACTATGAACCAATCTCCAAAAGCTGTGCTGAGTACATTATTTTCAAAACTTTTTTTAATAATAATTTTTTTAGTTTGTCAAAATATAAAATACAAAGAAAAATTAAAAGTGTAATAGAAAACTAGAAAAAGGGGGAGGGAAAAGAAAAAAAGAAAGAAAAGAACAAAAAAGAAAAAGGCACCACCTTCCAGATTCTCTTTAGTACAGTAGAAGATAACAACATTACAATCAGAACTTTTTGCTTTTACACAACAGTATGTACAAACCATTTCTATAACAATAAACCTATCTAATTAACAAAAACAAAATCAAAATTTCATTTTCTTTTTCATTGCAAGCACAAAATCTGGAAGCAATTTCAAAATAGAAGAAGCAAGATTAGATATATTCTTGTCTTTGGATAAAAGAATCAGTTTGACCTTCTCTGCTTCTCATTACTGTGGAGAATGATATATACCTCTATTGACTCATTAATCTTTATCCTAGTTCATATTAAGAGAATCCTCTGTAGATTGAGAATCCTCAATTTATTTTTTTAACCCTAAAAGGAGAAAACACCTCCCCTAGTTTAGATATTTTACTAACTTTAAGCAATACTCAAATATTATATATAAAAAGGAAAACAAAACAAAACAACAAAAACTTTCAAACATTAACCAAAGAACTTACCCCCATTTGCATCTGTAAGTTCTGTTCTCCTCAAGAATCCCAGGTAGCCAGTTCGTGCCCAGATAGTTTGTGTGTCTCCAAAACTCAGTCTTGAGTTAAAATGATCTGATTGTAGGGATTCATCGCCATAGATTGTAAAATATCCACTGGCATTGTGAGCACTATGAACCCATATCTACGTGAAGTGGGAAAAATATGTTTTAATTGGAAGGAAAGCTTCATTTGCTTCAAAAAGTTCTAAACTTTTGGTCTTTTCATACGAGGCCTTCACTAAAAGGAACATCAGTTTCAGAGAAGTTGAGGTTTGAGTATCATTGGTAGCTTTTAATGTGGACCCCAATGGTTATGGTTTCTCAAGATTATCACATCTTGTAAAATATGGCATTCCCCCCCAACATGTCACAAGATTTCAGGCAGAACTTTTTTTTAAAAAAGCAGCAGTAAAAACAGCCAACCAACATCCTTTGCAGTGGGTGGGTACTGTCAAAAATCATGCATTCATCTGCAATTATGTGCTGCATGTACAAAAGGTATTTTCCTGGAGTAGCATCTGTTTAAATATAGTCAGAAAGAAAGAAGGAGTAGGGAAGAGTCTTAGAAAAGTTAACGACTCTTAAATTAGATAGATACTAACTTGTCTACCATTAATTCCACACACATTCATTAAACTGTGCAACACATCACCTGCTAGATCAGGCTGTTTGCCACACGCTGCCCCAATAATGCTATGAGAAAAAGGAGTTGATCTGTAATCAACTCCTCCTATTCAGCCCTGACTTTGGCACAGGTGTGTAACTTACTTCTCCAAGATGAGAGTCGCCAAGAGGGCCCTTTGTTTCTGGATTAGCAATAATGATACGAACTCCAGGGAGGATCTATTGAAAGACAAAATGAATCATATTTGGTCAAGAGCCAGGTTGTGTCTATATTGTTTCATGCAAAAACTAAACTTTCCTGCCTCATTTCTGAAGTCTTTAAGAAACACGGCAGGCTTCCCAAAAGGAAAGAGGTGGGTGCAACTTCTCCAAGGAAAGTGACACCATACTCATGAATTTGTAAATTCATTATTGTGAATTAGTTCTTTCCTAAGGAGGATGAGTCATCAGTCTTGGTGATTTTTTTCACTTGTGCCCAAAATGATGGCCACCAGCAGTGCTAATGATCTGGAAAGCATATGGTGAGCACATATTCTGCATATATAAGAATCCAGATGCAATTTCTTAAAATGAATTCCCTCAGGAATTATTACCAATTAGCATAGACCAGAGAGAAGTCTTATGGAGCTCAGATGCACATTCTTTCCAAAATGTGGTAGTGAGGAGAATCACGGAGATTGGCTCTAAATCCCAAATTTTCTGTTCATTCCTTAATCATCCAATCATTTTGTTTTCCACATATCTTCTCTCTCTCTCTCTTTCTCTCTCTCTCTCTCTCTCTCTCTCTCTCTCTCTCTCTCTGTGTGTGTGTGTGTGTGTGTGTGTGTCTCTCTCTCCTCCCCCCCCTCTCTCACACACACACACCCATTGCAATGTATCTATTATCTTAGGAAAATAGAAGCTACATAGCATCTTTCTTTCTTCTACACCCATCTATTGATCTCCATTCTCACATTTCCCCCTACATCCTCTCATTCATATTTTCCCCGTTGCAAAGTTTCCTTCCTCTCATTCATATATTTTATCTCATTCACAGAGTTTCATTCAGCGTTTCTACCATGGAGAGTTGAGAAAAATGGGCACCTCTTTCTTTGTGGGATAATAGTGAAAGAAAAACAGGATACATTAAAACTCCAAAGTTTCATGTGTCCACAGTTTGCCTACAAGTGATATAGATAATATTGATACAAATGGATGAAAAGCTTTGATATAAATAATTTTTCCCAACTTGAGGAAGTCCAGATGGTTTGGATTTAACCCTGAGAAAACCAAAGGCATGCTTGAGATACCATCAAATAACTGGAAATATTGATTTTTAATATCAAGAAACCATAATGAATTCACTCATTTCACAAGCCCCAGGTTTCTAGAACTTAATAATGCGCATGACTCTGCAAATGCTCCGTGTAAATAATCACATATCTGCCTGCATTAAAATATTTGTTTAATCACTCCATTCAGATGGTTAAGAATTTTTATACTTTTACCTTTCCTGATTCCATGAGAGGCAAACTATGGGGAGATCCTCTTTCTACTAAACGCACTCTGAAAATAAAAAAATATATATAGAATAATTATGAATGCACAAAAACTGCAACACCAGATGTTCATACAGAGTTACATCATTCAAGTATCTGTATTTCTGTATTGCTTTCTATTTGCTGAAAAACCATCACTAAAGGGAAGATTCAGCTTTTTTTGGGGGGGGAAACCCTGTAATCCTTCTTTCTGCTTACTGGAAAGGGCAACTGGACACACCTTGAATTACTTTCAAGTCAGGATGCACAGATTGAAATCCCAACCTGTGCATAGCCCAACAGCCTTGTACTGTGATCAAGGATGTTATTTAAATTTATGCAGGTCAGTTTAACTAGCAGGAAACAGAACTGGTAGGACCATTTTGCTCAGAGACAGCTTCCTATGGTGTGTGTGTGTGTGTGTGTGTGTGCATGTGCTTGTGTGTATTCATGTTCTTTCCCTCCTTTTGTTCAGAAGCAACCTCTGCTCAGTCTCTGGCAATTCTGGGTTGGCACTGTCCATTGTCCCTACTTCTTTCTAGGTAAGTCTCCTAGAAAACCTTCAACTTCAGGTTACATTTAGAACTACAGATGTCCAGCTGTGCACTGTTCATTTATCAATTAAGAAAACAGATCTTTGTCAGATCCCACAAAGGCAGTTAGCAAAAGATTGAGAAAATGGTGTCTGTGATGTCTACTGGTGCAAAAAGTCAAAATGGTATGCACAATCACACAATTGAGAGCATGCCCTCTTTTTATGTGCATGCAATGCACCTGCTAAAAAAAATTCAACCTTAACAAGCCGAGCAAAATTGCTTTCTGTTAAAGCCAAGATCTTGAGAAATTGTCATGAATTGCTAAGTCAACTTTGGCAACTTTTAAGATGTATGAACTTCAGTTCCCAGAATTCCCCAGCCAGCATGGCCAACGCATCTTTAACTTAACAAAGCTGAGAAACAACGGACTATGTAGACTATTCTCACTGAAGTGCTCAAGATAGTTAAAACATTGCACTAAATTGTTATTCCTAAAGAGATAGGAGGACTTTATTAAATACACTGGGAATAATATTAACAGCATTACATTAAAACTTGTTTAATACATTTAACTTAACTGAGATACATTTTCGGCCTTGCCCTTTTCTCCTGCTCTTTCCTGGCTCTGCCTAATTATGGGAATTCAGTTGCAGAAGTCAATCATAGTTCTTAGCTTGAAAAAGCTGAAATCAACTTATATAGTTAAGACTTTGCAGGGAGAAGATAGGGCAGGTCAAGGAAGGATAGACCTAAGAAAGCAGAACACTTGACAAAAGGACAGTTGTTGCTGCTGATTTTTTTTCACTGTACCTCAGCTGCATCTAGAGATGCTCAATTCTTTTTCCAGGATAGACTATTAATCTATGTGAAATTGCTTCCTGACCTTGTAGAATATGTAGCTTTTGTACACCAGAGCCAAAAAAAAGAGGAATAAAAAGAGTAATTTATATTTATATGCTCCTTCAAAACAGCAATTTGTCAAACAGGTCAATTTGAAAATTGACTTCTCTTTGTCATCCCCGCTATTCCTTTGAAAAATGATAGATTGGTTTTAATAACTATTTATTAAATAATTGTTATTTATATAGCATAGCATGCGTCCCCTACAAAGTTAAAAAAGATTGTATCTGGGAGATTGCAAACAGCAACTAGACCGAGGAGATAGTGCCTCTCACAGTCATGTCCCTGAGTTCATGTTTCAACTGGGATTGAATTCAGTGCTCATTTCATTGCACCACCTGGGGCTGTGTTCCACACGGGCCTGAGAGATTTGCAGAATAGAGGCTAAGAGGAGATGACCCAGCATCTTTGATAACAATCAAGAAATATACAAATATAAATTTGTATATAAATGTAAAAAAAAAATCAACAAATATAGAAAGGTTGTGTAGTGCTTTGGATTCAAAGGGGGGGGGGAGAGTGCTTTTGGGAGCAAACGAGTACACAGGTAGCATCAGGAATAGCCATTTTTATCCTGTATTCTGAAGCCCCTTTCCCCCTTTGAATCCCTATTCCAGGGGTAGGCAACCTTGGTTCTTTTATGACTTGTGGATTTCAACTCCAAGAATTCCTGAGCCAGCAGAGCTGGCTCAGGAATTCTTGGAGTTGAAGTCCACGAGTCATAAAAGAGCCAAGGTTGCCTACCCCTGCCCTATTCTAAGCCTTTCTCTCAATCGTATCCACTTGGCTTCAAACCAGTACTAATTTTCCAATGAGCACCAAGCAAATAGCTAAACCCTCCAATTAATTTTGTACAGAAAAGCAAGAGACCATCAAAAGTTGTTTTGTTCTTTTAACAAAGTCTCTCAAACAACTCCTATTTAGGTTCTACGGACAAACATAATCACATGGAAGACTGCATTTTAGTTTTTAAAAAGTATATTCATCCACAAAAGGTTTATTCATCCAAGTTCCAAATCTCTCCTCTTACATCACCATATATTAGCCAGAGGTGTACATGAAAGCGAAGGCTAAAATTTCAACAGCCTTTATTGCACCTGTTCCTGCAAATGTCATTCCTACAGTAGAATTTGCATTTGCCAGGTCTATAAAAGAGGCTAAGAAGCAGCTGTAGAGGGCATTGGCCATGCTATGGGATGCTGATAGGAAGAAAGAAGGCAGGAATATGTATTTATTTATTGGATTTCTGTGCTGCCCATTTTGGCCAGAGGCAACTCTGAGCACTTACAAACATCAAAACCAAAAACATTAGAAAGATAAAACAGTGACAACAACCATCAGTTATACTAAAAAATTGTCATTAAAAGATTAAAAGGAGGAGAGAAAGTAGCAGGAATACCACAGGGGGAGGAGGGAGAGTCTTTTCTCAGTCTACTAACCACCCCGCAGAGTGATACTCTCCCCCCCCCACCAAATACGGACAGTTACTTTTGAATTATGCAAAAGGACTATGATGAACCAATGTGCTTTTAATTTAACGATGTAGAAATGCCATCTGAAAATTCAGTTCTTTCAAATAACGGCATTCCTTTCTCTTGCTATATTTTTAAAATATATGCCTTTTACACTTATGTGAATAACACATGGTAATGTTCCTAACCTTCTAGTATGAATTTTGCAACATTAAAGTAAAAATCACACCTGTCATGTCTGAGAGCCCTCATGTCAACATACACAGTGGTTGGGTCTGGCCCAGATGTTCCCTGTAAAAGAAACATTTCATTTAGCTTCTGAAGTAATAGGTTGTCTTTACATTTTAATTATTGCTACAGTTTTAAAACAGCAAATCTTTTATACTGCCATGGTAAAAAAACAAAGGCCACATTATGTATGCTTTGTATCTGTATGTATGGGAGGGTGTCCAAGTTGGAAAATTCTAAAAAAACAAAATGGGCTGAAGACAACACAGCCCGTAAAAATCCAAGCACGTGATTAAGTTTCCTAAGACACTTATGCAAAGGCTCTATATAAAGTTGAAAATGTTTTAAAGCAAGACATTTGATATCAACATATAGAAGCTGAGGAAGCATAAGCAGTTATTCTGTTACTTTAAAACATTATATTTTTAAAAAGCAGCACACTAATTTGTTCATGGCCATGTCACCCACGATACAGTAATTCTTTCTATGAATATGAGCTTAGGTTCTTTCTATGCTAAGACTGGTATGGTTCAATATAGTATAACACTATATTGGTTCAAGATCAAGACACTATAATTGAACCATATTTTGTTGAGTGGGATCACCCAGGGACAAAAACATGGTTTACAAATTACACAGGCTGAATTTACACTGAGTGTTCAATGAGCAAACTGGCTTAGTATATCATGTGAAGTAGTCCAAGAGAGACTTGCACCTCAGTGCAATTAAAAGAAAAAATAAGGCATGGTGATCTGAGCTAAGTACTATGCAATGTAACTCAGGTCAGATTATTTGGATTAGAAACCAGATGCATTAAACCTTATTGCTTTCTAATCACCTTCAGATTCTATTGCAACACTGGCACTGCAAAGCCACTTCACGTGTTTGGAGATGCTTTAAGACTTAAAGTGCCCAACCTGTCCTGTGCAACGTACTAAAAATGTGCATTCAAAGAAAGGCATGTTCTTATTGGTTCATTTTACAGTATATATTCTGTTGACAGACACTCCTAAATCTGGATATGCCTAAAGAGGAGACAACGATTATGCCAGCACATGTTTAATGAGAACTGGTTTGGTATTCCAGCTTTAGGTTTGCTCTCAGCCACAGATGCTCATAGGATAACTGCAGCTCAGTCACTCTTTCTCAGCTAAATTGATATCGTGGGGGGAAATTGGAGAGGGTGTTATATATACTTCCTTGAGCTCCTGAAGGAAAGTTGGACAATAAAGAAATGAAAAACTATCGGGACATCTACAAAAAATAAAGCAAGCCAGCACAATGTTGAAAAAGGATGGACCCTGGACGTTGACATTGGACTCTTGAGTTTCCAGGCTCCTTTTTTTGGAGGGGGGCACTTTATTTCTTGGCACTCCTTAAAAAAAAAAATCAGGTTCTATGCTAAGGAAAGCAGGAGGCATCTAAAAGAATGTACTAAATGTACTAAACGTTGACCAGCATCCCATCACCAGGAGGGCAAGAGAAAATTACAGGAGGGCATCACTAGGCAACTTGGCATAATGTCAACACCTTGTATTGTGGTGTTGGCATATAGGGGCTTTAGCATAGCTCTCAATGTACTAATATATTCAGCAGCACCAGGAGCGTAACAGACCAGTGCTGAGAGCGGAGAAGCCCATTACCATCACTGAAAAAGAGGAAGAGTGGGAGAGAATCACTCTATAAAAACAGATAGTCCTTGACTTACAACCACAATCAAGCCCAAAATTTCTGTTGTTAAGTGAGATATTTGTTAAGTGATATTTTGCCCCATTTTACGACCATTCTTGCCACAGTTGTTAAGTGAATCACTGTAGTTGACAAATTAGTAACCTGGTTAAGTGAATCTGGCATCCCCCTTGACTTTGCTTGTCAAAAGGTCTCAAAAGGTGACCACATGACCCCAGGACACAGCAATAGTCATAGATACGAACCAGTTGCCAAGCATCTGGATTCTGATGATGTGATCATGATGCTGCTGCAAAGATCGTAACTATGAAACATGGTCATAAATCACACATTTCAATGCTGTTGTAACTTTGAACAGTCACTAAATGAACTGTTGTAAGTTGAGGACTACCTGTATTACATTAGGAACTATTTTCATGATTAACCAGAAGCAGTTTATAAAATTCAGTTGTGACCATTTGTACATTAAGGGTCACATCTGGATGTTGTTTTTTTAGAACACATTCCCAAGCAAGTTACAAAGTGTTGGTTAACTTTGGATGAAGACTATATCTGGATAACACCTATTAATTATTTCATTTCTTTACACAAAATTTTCTTTCCTTGACATTTCCTGGCCAATTCTGGCTATTGCATCGAATCAAACAAATCATGTGTACGTCCCCACTCAAAGGTCTCCGCTGATTCCATCTAGTCTGTCCATTGCCAGGTGGATATTTTAGGGAACAGGTAAATTCCCTACCTGCTTGCCCAGTTTCCCCAGCCCGTGTGGCTACAGAGGCAGGAATAGGGGGAGATGGGGAGAAGGAGAGACAGTAACACATGGGGAAAAAAATAATAATGAAGATAATAATAATTGAAAAAGAAATGGAAGTTGAGAGGAAAATAAATAGACTCATGCACAGAGTGGAATAAAATAAAAAGAAAAAAACCATGTCCAATATAAGGATTTTATAAACTATACATTTTATTATTTTAAAGAGCTAGAAATGAAAATAAACACATAGATAAATAAGATGGATGTGTTATTTTAACAGAGCAAACAGGAGAGGCAGAAGTATATAGACTTTCCAATTTTTAAAAAACAAATGTTCAGCAATTTAACCGACATTATAGATACCATTGTTTGAGGACACTGTGTGAAACTCTACTTTTCAGGTGAAGCGTGCCATACTATACCTTCACATTTCGATAATTGCCATACCTTTTTCAAAAGATTAAAATGAAATGGAACACTCCTTTGTTAAGCCTGAAAAGGCACATCTGTGTCTACAGGAAGGAACAAGTCATTCATCTTGAGAGGAATGTTCAGCTCTTACTTTTCAATGGATAATTCTATCATGACCACCTGCCTTCCGTCACCCACAAGTTTGCCTCTATGAATGAAACTGAGCCAGGAAGTTCTCTGTTCCCTGAACTGAAGTGTAAATCTGGTAAGAAATTTTAGTTATAAATGTTGCTTCCCAAGAGCAAAAATGGTACACCCATATCTTCTGCTTCATTGTAAGTGAAGGTAGACTACTGGAGCATGAAATCAGCTCCATAGGGACTACTTTTATTGAGGCTGACTGTTGTAACAGAATCCTGCAAATCTGATTGTGTTGTATCCTCTCCTTTTTATTCTCAAATGTTAGCAAATTAGGAAGGCATCTACCTAAGCCACTTATTTTGGACTTTTTGAGGACAACAGAAGCTGGCAAGATCATCTCTCCACAATAAATTTGCCTTTTTTGCCTGTTGCAGTTATGCTAGCCAAATCAATATAGGTACAGCCCAAGCCTATAGTGTTTATTCAAGAACAGACTATATACAAAGAGCCTTACAACAATTTAGTGGCCATTCAAAATTACAGATGCACTGAAAAAAGTGACTTAGGACAATTTTTCACATGGCTGTTGCACCATCTCCAGGGTCACGTGATCAAAATTCAGATGCTTGGCAACAGAGTCAAATTTATGACAAATGCAGTGTCTCAGGGTCATGTGATCACCTTTTCTGACCTTCTGACAAGCAAAGTTAATAGGGAAGCCAGATTCACTTAACAACCGTGTTACTAACTTAACAACTGTGATGATTCACTTAACAACTGGGGCAAGGAAGGTCGTAAAAAAGGACAAAACAACAAATGTCTCACTTAGCAACAAAAATTTTGGGCTCAATTGAGATCATAAGTGGAGGGCTATCTACAGACACGATTGAATAATTTTCAAAGAAGGAAAATACATGAACTCCCTCTATGCAAAGATTTGCATCCAACAAAAATCTTTTTGCAGGAAGTTCCTGGATCTAAGTATCATGAAACACAGTAGAACGCAGGAAAGATATAGCTGATCTAGTAGGAACTATTAAGATCAGGAAATAACTTCTAAGACTTGAGATCTGATCCTTGTGGAAAAAATGCACTTAGAATTGTCTGTTGTTCTAGAGTTTAAGTCAACAGAAGCCAAATGTTCTTCAAATATGCTGAGTTACAAATCCCACAATCCTCAAGTACCAAAGCAAAGCATGTCTGCAAATAGCAACATCCTCAGAATTTTGCATGGATAAATTATTTGATGCTTCTCAATCACAAGTAAATTCTATCTGAACTATTAAAATAAAGATCAAGTTGGCATTGAAACAAGTTTAAAATGAAGTTTTTAGCAGGCAAGAATCTATAGACTTTTGTGAAAGGCACACCCTGTACAAATATACACCACATTGTATATCATCAAAACTTTTCTTAGATTATATATTTTACTGAGGACTGAAATGTGATGGATTGGATCGGAATAATCAGCTGTATTTTGATTCTACTGAAACTAATAAGGTAAATCAATCTTACTGAATTTGTTGATTTCAATGAGAAATAAGTTTATTTTACTTCATTTGAATCCAAGTCAGTAAATATATGCAAGGATGTAATGTTTTTAAAATCCAAATTGAAAATGATTGGTAGGTAGGAAAACTTTGCATGGATAGCCATTAAATTCTGCATATAAGACAGTAATCTAATTGTGAGCAGCTGATGTAAACAAATTTATTTAGGAAATGTGTACATTTGTCTGTTTTTAAAGCTGGGTTCAAAGCAACTTCTGGAGGCTTACTTTCCTGAAATTTGAAATTAAACGAAATTGGGAAAATCTCCTCAATTATCTCAACTACTTCAAACATTAGTTCCACGTGGAACTAATGGAATCTTTCAGAGTAAGCATACTTTAGAATCTTCTGAATGTAGAATGGCTAATGTATGCATTTGGAATGCATATCAGTCGGGAATAATCAACGTAATCTAGGACATTGTTCATCACCAATGTTCATGATCTGTTGAGCAGCTTAGGCCATGATCAATACTCCTCAAAGAGGAGTACTCTACCTTGAGACATCCTCAACTCCTACCTGGGACTCTGTCCACTTAGTGAAGCAGTCATGGGACACCACTTTGCTTAATAACCAAGATTCTGATCCCAGTTGTGGTTATAAGGCAAGGACTTATGATATTAATGCTAATATTCTTACTAAATTCTGTTATTTTTTTCTCCAGAACAATATAAACTTCCAGTAGGATTGGACTTCAAAGACGATAATGGCCAGAAACTCTGGGACAGACAGGCAGATATCAGTTTGGGACAAATAGATATTGACCTTTAATCCATTTCTAACACTAGCCACAATAACTGAGTAACACTATAGTGGTTTTAAGGCACTACATATATTTAAGTCCTTACTCTACTCACAAGGAAAAAAAAGATTTTGATATACTGAGCATAAAGATTCGGGTTGAGTTTTACAACTTACAAATTAAGGAACTTTCATACAGGTATTTACTGTGTTGCTTTCACACCGAGGACAGAATAAATGTTATAAATGTAACATAAAAAGGATTATGGAAAAACTAATTAACAAAACCAGAAAAGGTGTATGCTTGCAATATGAAAAAGGAACGTCTATTTATACTTGCACCAATTAAGAAAGTAACTAACCATCTTAAATGAAACCTGGTTGCTTTCCCTTAAGGAAGGACTGCTTTTACAATTTTTGCCAACAGGAGAGAGAGAGAGAGAGCCTTACCTGCAAACATATTGCCAGGTTAACTCTGCAGCCAAAGGATGTGCTGACAGCCCTGGGATGGAGGCCCAGATCTTTAAAAAGCTTTGAAAAAGATTGTGTCAGAGCTATTCGGGGTCGTTCTTCTGCCACAACCACACATGTCCGCACCCTTGACAGGTCCAGCCCTCTTGCCTGGAAACAAGGCACAAACTCAGGTCATCGCAAGAGTAGTGTTGACATTTGGCAGATGATATAGCAAAGACATCAGAAGCAGAAATGAACTTTGGGTTACTAAAAAAATGTATTTTGGAATAAGTGGGAATATCATCATAACAAACATCATAGATATTTTTGCCAATGTGAATCCAAGTTTCTCAACCTTGGCACTTTTAAGATATGTGGACTTCAACTCCCAGAATTCCCCAAGCAATATGCTGGCTGCGGAATTCCGTGTATTGAAACTGACACTTCGTAGAGCATGCTGCTGGGGAATTCTGGGAGTTGTATTCCATACATCTTAAAGTTGTTAAGTTTTCACCCACCTATAATTCTGCATGAGGGAGAGTAGAGAGTGTTTATTATTTTTAGTTTCTAAAGGCCACACAAATTAAATTCTTAAACTGTGAGCCTGTTTTGAATGGATACAGGACGGGGCTATAATTATAATGCAACTTGTTAGCCATTTTGAATCCCATTTGTTAGAAAAATGGGAGGAAAGCCACAGGTTGGCTTAATAACCTTCTCATATGCAACAAAATCTAAAGAAGAGTCCAGTGGAAAATTGAAAGTGTGTGAGCTCACTTACTAAGCTATGATTTAACTTTGACTAAATTCACACAAAGTGGAAAGTAGTATTCCACTTGCCCAGCTGAAAGGGTTGTCCTTGATTCATAAAGACAATTGTTTATCAACAATATAAATAAAGATATCAAATAGGGAGAAGAAGCCCAGGCAACATCAGCTATAGGGAAAAAGAAAAGGAATTAGGATTCCTCACCTTCAAAGATTCTGTTTGTGAACCGAGGCCCTTGGTGCAAAGCTCCATAACTGAGTAGGAACAAAAGGTATCTCTTACTTTGTACTGGCTCACAGCCAGAAGCCATAGAGCAGGTGTAGTTTCCAATTCTGAGGGAGGAATTAAAATAGACTGGTGTCCTGAATAAACGCTGTAAAGATACAAGATTGGTTAATCCCATGACAGGAAATCTGTCTTGAGACCAGAAGATGCCAAATTGAAAAGAAAATTGTTTTTCAAAATTCTGGAAGGAGACAGCTCTCCTTGGGAGCTTTTAGCTCAGAGATAGACAATCTGAAGCCCTCCAGATGTTGCTCAACTGGTTTCCAATTGCTCCATCAAGAATAGCCAATGGTCAGGGATATTGAGTACCAAAGATGTGCAGCAACTACCAGAGGGCTACAGTTTCCCCATAACTCATAAATCTTAAATCAAAAACAGAAATCAAAACAGCAGCAACAAATATATATTCCAGAGGAAAAAGTCAAATAAAATGAGCTAGCTTTAAATCAGTTTATGTGAAGAGAGACCCAGAAGTCCAAACTTTATTTTGCTTACGCTAGTTAGTTTTTCAATAGTAGCATGAAGATGGCAAGTTCCCTGTGATGAATTACTACTGCTGTCAAGAATACTCCCTTGAGAAAATAGTCTTTAACAAGCTACAAGATTCTTCTTCTCTGTGCTTCTGGAATTTGGAAGAAAACATGGATTGACTGAGCAAGTGGTTCAACTGACCAGATTGCTCACCTTGTGAAATGATTAACAGATTAACAGGGATGCTAAGGATGGTAAGGAAAGTCCTTTGCATACAAAACATCCCATATTTGATCACTGAGAAATGGCTTGGATATCTCTTGTCACTTCCTTTTTCTGGAAAGTCATCATATACAATTCTGTAATTTCTAGATAGTTTGTAATTTAATTATTAATTGCATCTGATTCTGGTTGGCTTTTCAAGTTCTAATAAGATAATGCTGCCATCTAAATGGGATATTTCCATATATCCTCTTTATACAGAATGCAAAGACACCTTTTAAGGTACTGAAAGACTATCTTGGTCTTTGCAGAAATTCAATTAAAGGCATGCCCCAACAAACAAACTATCTAGATCCTATTTGAAACATACCACTTACAGGGAATTTCTGATCTTGTTTTATTACTTTATTATTTTGCTTCCGTGAATTACTATTTTTTAATTTGTTCTACATCCTTCCTTTTGGTGATATTTGCAGAAGTGCAGTGTTTAAAAAATACAAATCCATCTTTCAAATCATCTCATGTTACAAACTCATGCTTTCCGTAGAATTTAAACATGAATGCTATAATAATCATTTTGCATATATGATGGAAACCTAGTCTGATTAGGGGTATGCTACCTTAAACACTATTTGTTGCACATGCAACAATGGCTGGATTTACACATTCCACCTAAACAAAATTGAACAATGCTAGATTCAGTACCAGGTATGAACCAATTTTCCGTCAAGGCAAGTTTATGTGTAACTTGATCTTAATGAATCTGGTTTATTAAGAAAAGTTCAGGTAGAACTTAGGAATAGTACTCGGCAGGGAAGCCCACAGATTCAGTATTTTCAATACTGAGCAGAAGCATCATTTTAGGAATTCTTCCCAGATCAAAGTAAAAATGCTGGTCCAAGACCCTAGATCTTCTGCATGAAAAGCAGGTTTTCCAACCCTTTTATGCCTGTAGTTAGTTTTGCAAAATTATTTATCCAGAAGAAAATTTATTTTTTGAGTTTAAAGACTATCCGACCAATTCACAAATACACACATAAACATGAATATCAGGAAGTTATAATAGCTCAGGCTCCACATAATAGAAATAAAACTTGGACAAATTAAAAAAAGATGTTAGGTGTTCCAGACTTCACAATCAATACCAAACTGAACAGCTGCTAGAATAAACCTATTTAGAAATGCTGAAAATTTTTTTCCCAAACCCAAAAACATGGCAGGGAAAAAAAATGACAACACAATGAAGCCCAGTACTAAGCATTTGGCACAAACAGCTAAACGATTTAGAAAGACTGATGTCCATGAACTCACGTTGGCCTGACAATTGTTGTTCTGCCCAGAATGCATCAATCTTTGACAAAGATCTCCAGGAAATCCTGCTGGAGTGGGTGGCCAATTGATAGGAATCTGGAGAATTTTTGATAGAGGTTTATTGCTCTGCTTTGCAAGGTTTCTTTTCATTATTATTTTATACCCTTCGGGACATAAAATAAAAACAAAAACAAAACTTTGCAAAACCATGCAATACAGCCATGACTTACCAATGGGCTGGCTCCATGCTCCAAGGGGTTTTCCTTAGCAGTTTGGAAGTCTCAGAATGCTGCATTCTGGGACATCACAATGGAGCAGGCCAGCACAACTTCATAACATCTATAACAGGGATAAACAGATGGTTTTATTATATTATTATATTATATAGAGATATATATTTGGCTGCTTGTGCTCAGATTGCAAACCCTGGTTACCTAGGGTCCAATCCCTTTTTACACTCCTGGAGCAGTGATTAATGGCAATGATACCAAACTGGAATAAAAACAATGTTGCCCCAATCTGGTAAACCTTTTTAAAAAGCACAATTTAAATTTATTTCAGGGGTGTTTACATGATCAAGAGGTTCATCAGAAGTTTAAAAGAGCTGTAATGCTTGAAATTGGGTTGTATCAACTCTATATTTGTTCTAAAGCCTATTGCAACAGAGTTGAGGATTCAGTTCTAAAATGTATGCTAAGATACAGGGTGGTCCTCAACTTATGACCACAATTGAGCCCCAAATTTATGTTGCCTAGCGAGACATTTGTTAAGTGAATTTTGCCCTGTTTTATGACCTTTCTTGGCACAATTGTTAAGTGAATCATTGCAGTTTTAAGTTAGTAACCTGGTTGTTAACTGAATCTGGCTTCCCCATTGACTTTGCTTATCATAAAGATGCAAAAGATAAGCACCCTGGGCCCAGGAAACCATCGTAAATATGAACCAGTTGCCAAACTTCCAAATTTTGATCACATGACCATGGGAATGTTACAATGGTTGTAAGGGTGAAAAATGGTCATAAGTCATTATTTTCAGTGCCGTTGTAACTTTGAATGATCACTAAACAAATGGTTGTAAATCAAGGACTATCTGTACAAAGTGCCTTTAAGAGACAGACATGGATGGTTTGCATATCCCTACTTCTGTATTTTAAAAGTTGCAAATGTAGTTTTTGAAATAAGATTTTTAGCATCTCTTAACAGAAATGGTATTTGAACTCTTTTTCAGGAAACACTTTTGGAACAATACCTATAAACAAGTTTGGCAGGAAGCAAAAGGACATTTTGTGTTAAGCTTCAAATGGCTTAAAATATTTAGGAAAGCTGGGTGGGGGAGATGAACTTAAATCCTGCACGTTAAGAGAAAATGGGTTTAAGGTCCTGGTTTTATTTCCTCTCAGTTGACATGATTACCTTATTGCCCTCCCTCTCTTTATATCCTTTTGCTAAGAACGAATTACACGTTTTATTTCCCAATTTGGTATATGCCACACTTATGTAATGTCTCTGTAGCCAAAGCAGCATTTTCCATAGAGAGAGATTAGCCAGTTTGGAGAAATGTCAAGAATTGTGCTGAAAAAAAAAGTATGGATGTGATATTTCATTAAAAGCACTCCAGTGGGGGTTAGTGGCAACATGGAATAGTATGAAAAAAATGAATGGCTGTCTTAAACTCTGAAGAGGACTGTTCCATATAGTAATATTTTTTATAACTAGCTCAAATGCCCATTTGTTCAAATATAATAAGACACTGTGACTCCATTTATATTTTGCCTTTAGAACTGATAGGTTGGTCTTCAAATTTAAATCTAGCAACCTTAATCTATTCTCTTTGCTTTGATATGTCAACTGTTCATTTTCTTGGGATAGGATACATTTGATCCCTGCCCTCCATACACATACAAACAGAGTCCAACAGTAATGTCCTGCCACTTCAAAAAAGATACTTGACAGTTCCCATCAGGAAAACCTACCTACAGAGGCACCAAAGGACAAATCCCAGTCCACAGTAGGGATCCAAACAAATTGCAACTTCTCTAGAAGGATAGAGTTCACACTGCAGCTTAATAGAACGACAAAAGGCACTAGTGGCTGCATGAGACATCTGGAAGAAGAAAAGAGGGCAGTGATCAAAATGATAAACTATGCCATTCTGTAGGGTTGCTTCTGAAGCATTGCTAGATCTTAAATTAGTAACAGAATAAAAATAATCATCTCCCATCTCTTCTCTCCATACCCTCATTTCTATCTCCTAGAAATAAACCCTCATTGAATCTTTTCTACACTATTAAAATTAATATGTTTCCAAAGAACAATCAGTCCACGTGGCAAACGAGAAACAAACAGAGAGTGACTCATCGTGGTTTTGATTTCTAGGTTATAATCCAGAACTGCTGGAAATTATGTGGAATCCTGAAGAGTAGGGTAAAAATAGAAAGTACTACAGATGGCAGACTTGGGTCAGTAAAAGACCAAATGCTTGACAGACAAAATGTAAAACTCTCTCACTAGTGTCATTTAAAGAATGTTTTACCATGTGAAAAAACTCAAAACTCTTGCTGTCTTGGCTTTACCCCTAGTGTCACAAAAGTAGATACTGAACCTCTTGTGCAAATTACAGAAAAATGGACCAAGTTTTTTCCCCCTTAAAAATAAAATAATAAATTATGGAAGCAGCAGTTAAGTAAAAATGAGCAATATTTTTTCTTGTCCTTCCTCCACATATATTTTATTCATATGGAGATCCTGACTTAATAATAATAAAGTTGGAAGGGACCTTGGAGGTCATCTAGTCAACTTATCCATTGTGAGTAATTCTTACCTTCACCCCTGCTAACATTCCAGTTGTAGATACACTGAAATCGAGATAAGCTAGCATGTCAGGATTAGAAGGTTTGAAGATCTGAGGAGGCCGTTTCTTTGGCAAATCATCTATGTAGAAAAAGGGAGACATGATTCCTGAGACATTGTGAAAGATGCAAAAATTCACAACAGAACAAAGAGGAATAAACAAGATACCTGTGTCTAATATAGGTGGCCATGTTCTGACATCGACTGCTGCTGCTGCCTCCCGGGACCGTAATAATTTACATATTAATTGTGTTGTCATTAAACAAGCAGAGCGACTCACCTGGGAATTTCAGAAAAGAGAAAGGAGAGATTTAAATCTCTACACATTTTGTTTGTTCAATCGTATCCCAATTTGGGAGACTGTCTAGACAGGTTCTTGCAGTTATCTTGGCAAAGTTTTTAGAAGTGATTTGCCACTGCCTCCTTCCTATGGCTGTGGCTTGATCAAAATCCTGCAGCTGGCTTTGGGTCTAAGGCGGGACTAGAACTCACCATTTCCCAGTTTCTACCCAGATGCTTTAGTTTAACCACTACCTCCCACTGGCTGTTTGCTTCACATTACAAGACAATATATTTCATTTTTTGTAAAGTAAAGTATATCTTCAGTTTAAAAAGAACATCTCCCTACTCCAAATGTTTTCAAGTTAGGACAATACAGGTTCCTCCCGCCCCTGCCAAAAAGAACTATGATGATGTAGAATGAAGCCACTATACCTGTTATATCCCCCAATCCTTAAAACAATTCCTCTCTGGGCTCAAAAGTTTTAATTCTTAACACTTGTTTCATCTTGCACCACCACATCTATTCCTTGTGGCCTCTGGAGACTAAAAATGCAACTCCAGGATGAAAAAGGCAATCTATGCATGTTCTAAGTTAATTATTATTAATGGCCCACTGACCTCCACAATCATCTTCACTGTGGGTAAGGTTGTTGCAATGTTTTGTGGATGGGGAGGCCGAACTGTTATTGGCACACAGCCAGCATATAAACATCCATAAAATGCAGCAATCAGATCTATGCCTGGAGGGGACAAAAACAGTATGATTATTAGTGTGAAAAAAAGCAAAATGAGAGTGATTTCTAAAAAAAAATCACCTTCCCTAAACTACTGCTGTTCACATGTGTTGGGAATATAACCACTAGAATCCCTACATTGAAATGGAGCTTCAATCTTATACCCATTTACCTAGGAGTAAGGATCACTGAACCCACCGGGGCTGACATCTGAACAAATATGTATAAGATTGTGTTGTTAAAGGGAGAGGGAAAGAGAGAGAGAGAAAGGCACATACAACTTACTTCTATTGAAATGATTTGAATTCATTTGGTTTTAGATGAGCAGATTTCTCATACAATTGTGAATTTTACTTAGCCGGTGGAGGTAGAATTTGCTTATCCAGCTCACTCACTGAATAAACCTCTACATAAAATTCTATTTCACTCATGCTTGTTAGATAAAGGGATTCTTTTTTCATTGTTCCATAGCAATTATATTCTAGAAGTTGGAGCATTTAGCAACTACATATTCAAGGCTGAGGTTCTAGGCCAATGTTTCTCAACTTTGGCAACTTTAAGATGCATGGACTTCAAATCCCAGAATTTCCCAGCCAGCACGGGGGAAACATTGCTGGTTGGAGAATTCTGAGAATTAAAGTCCATGTCTGCTAAGTTGCCAAGGTTGAGAAACACTGTTCTAGATGTACACTGAAGCACTTTTGGTTGAAATCAATAAGGACAAAAGGAAATAAACATGTTAGACACCCCCAAATTCCATTGAAAGCTATAAGAAGCACTGGTCTAACAGCCCATATACTGAAAAAAAACACAGTGATGAAAGAAATTTTGGAGAATAATCCTACAAATTCACTGTATATAGCAACCAGTAAACATTCACTTGAAGCAAAAATATTTGTAGTCTTACAACCAACCAACCAACCAACCAACCAACCAACCAACCAACCAACCAACCAACCAACCAACCAACCAACCAACCAACATTATCTATGTATCAGTCACAGATTTTATATATAAAACAATAACATTGTTTGAGAATTGCAACTAAAGTCAGAAGTTGGAAGTCAGAAGTCAATGCTTTCCCCCCCCCTTGTACCTTATATTTTATTTCCCCCTTTTTTTCTCCTTCTCCTAATTTCCCATTTCTACTTCTCTTTGTATTTTATATATAGATAAAACAATAAAAGCCATATATACAAGTATTGCAACTAAAGTATTCTTGCACGATTTACCTGGTGGGTAGACTAAAGCAACATGATCACCATCTTGCAAATGACCCCTTTCCATCAACATTACTGATATCTTTTCAGCTCGTTTATGTAGCTGGACACAGGTGAGAGAGTTTGCAATTGTCCCCTTCATTAAGAAAAAGAAATGTAGAAACAGAGAAGAAAAATTTAAATATGAAGCTTTCTATTCATTAACTGAATTATTGATCTTAGCCTCTGAAACTAGATTAGTGATATAAATGTCACACATTCATTTGATTTTAAGCTGAAAAAAACAAACAAAGGAAGCAAAATCTATATCTTGATTAGGCCAGTTGAAAGGTAGACTTTAAAGCATTTCCCCGATTAACTACAAAGTGAACTATGATTTTTTTTAAGATTATTGTCACTGCTCAAGAATTACTTCAAAATAACTCAAAGTGAAATTTAGAAAGGATATAACGTCAGGAACTGAGTGTTAGCTATTAGTAATCACTGTTTTCAAATGGTAAAGTGGTTTGAAGCAAGCCTTAACAAAACCCGAACAGCTTGATATTTTTCAAAAGTAAAAAATTATTGATGTCATAGAGAGAAATTATATCAAATTGCCTACCAAGCTATACCATTTATGGATACACTTTCTACAAATTCATATTCTAGACTATTATTTGTTAGTTTAAATCAATTTGATGCCACCTACTCCAGAGCAATTCTAGGCAGTTCATGGGACCCAAAGTACAATAAAAAAACAACATAATAAAACAGGCATGGCACAAAAACTAAGCTAGAATAGAACAAAATGGCAAATCCAGCAATAACTAAAACATCCTATAACATCTAGTAGTTTGTGGGACATTCCAGCAACCCTATAGCAATAGTGTTTTACAGCACTCTCTGAGCGGTTTACACTGTTTTGCTTATTGTCCCCAACACTCTGGGTCCTCATTTTACTGACTTCGGAAGGATGGAAGGCTGAGTCAACTTTTAGCCCTTCAGGATTGAACTCCAGGCTGTGGGCAGAGTCAGCTGCAATACTGCATTCTAACCACTGCACCACCAGGGCTTGTACCTATCCGAAAGCCTAGGAGAACAGCCAGGTCTTTATGGTTCTCTGAAAGGATTGGTTCATTGTAGGATATTACTTTATTATTTCAAACTTAAGTTTCATATTTAATAGTTCTGAGTTGCAAGTTGATTTATGATTATTACTTATTTAATTTGCATGCTGCCCAATTACCAGTGGCTCTGGGTGTTTTAAAAATTTATTTATTTATTTATTTATTGCATTTATATCCCGCCCTTCTCCTTGCGGACTCAGGGCGGCTGACAATTGAATAAAATACTAACATATATACATACTTAATTAAAATTTGATTAAAACGAAATATTTAAATATGTCCAATTTAAAAGTAATTAAAACCCCCTTTAAAATCCCTCAGGCCAGTCCCGCTAGTTGGAAC